ATACATACATACATACATACATACATACATACATATACACACACACACACACACACACACACACACACACACACATACATACATACATACATACATACATACATACATACATACATACATACATACATACACACACATACATACATACATACACACGTATATGCATATATGCACCAAACTTAAATCTACTTTTCATGAAAAAAATGAAATTGTATTTGAAATTCCGAATATCTATTTCTAGTTCTAATGAAATAATTAAATAATAATAATAATGAAGTAATACTATACATTATATGTGTGTGTGTGTGTGTGTGTGTGTATAATTATTTTATTATAATATTATTTCAGAATACAATACTGACGTAATATTACGATATAAAAAGGGAAGTCAGATGTGTTATCAAAAATACAAATAAATCGAGAAAATCACTATTCTTCGATTTGCTGGTACGGGGAAAATACGATAATGTTTTCTCTTTTGCTAGCTAGATAGCTAAGAAATATATATCCGTCAGGTAAAGTCGGCATCATTTATAGTCATAGACAGCATTTAAGTCGTTCAAACAGAACAAAGAATATATCGACAAAGTCTGTAGTCGGTAGCTCTCTTACATGCTAAAGACATAGGACTAGCCGTGGATCGTTGGAAAACTAATTTATACATTCGGTTTATAGTCCTTGCTTAGTAGAAAGGGTTGCTATCAATCGTATATGCGTGCACGCGCGCGTACGTATGTGTGTGTGTGTGTAAGACAATCCTTGCCGACACCAGATGTTCTAAACGTTGAGAAGGGTCTTCTTTCTCTCTCCTTTTCTCTCTCTTTCTATCTCTCTCCCTCTTTCTCTTTCTCTTTCTCTCTCTTTCTCTTTCTCTCTCTTTCTCTTTCTCTCTCTCTCTCTCTCTCTCTCTCTCTCTCTCTCTTACTCTTAGTCTTACTCTATTTCTCTCTTGTGTATAGACCAATATAAGGGCTTATTCTATGACGTACAATCAAGAGTGGACATTGTAACGCTAAGTGAACTACCATCGGCTTAGTACCCCTCACGTTTCTACATAGGGGAACTTTGTTTCTTTCAAAATCTAATAAATCTACTATGGAATTGTATCCGGAAAGTATTTTCGAGGATTCATCACTGACGTTAAATCGATCAAGATTTTCATCTTTATATATAATATATGCATACATTTTATTTATATATTATATATACATACACGCACACGCACACACGCAAACATATATATATACATATATCTTTCTCTCGGCTTCTTTTTTCTATCAAATTGAAGTTACTAACTTCAAAACTTATACAATACATTTTATCGAATAACTTCGTCAAAATTCACGACACGCTTTCTCTCCCCCCACCCCTCTCTCTCTCTCTCTCTCTCTCTCTGTATCTATCTATCTATCTATCTCTCTCTCTCTCTCTCTTTCAATTTTTTTTTCTCTTTACACTGGTATTATTCAGAAGATCGGAATGCAGGTACAGTTATGGTTACCAGTAACATAGAGCTGTTGCCTGACAATACTGACGACTTCTTTCTCACTCCCTCCCTACCTTTCTTCCTTTTTCTCTCTTTCTCTCTTTCATTCTTTTCCACTCCTTCGCGATTTTCTTCATATCCTCTTTGGTACCCCCCCCCCCCTCTCTCTCTCTATCTCTCTCTCTCTCTCCACAACCCCTTCTATATTCCTTATATTCTATACGTGTCTTTAACCTCATAGCCTCGTCTTCGTCTTATTCTTCGGTGGCTGCGGTACGTTAAGTATGTACGCGTACAGGCCGAGTTCACTCGCGGAACGTACTTACCTACGTCGTCGGCAGGTAGACCTCGAACGACACACAATCGATAACGTCGTCACGATCGCAAAGAGACACGCACGCTTCTCTGTCCCTTTATGTTAATGACCACTTAATATTCAACTTACGATCGCTTCCTCTTTTTCTACTTATCACTTAATCTCTATCTCTATCTTTCTCTCTCTCTCTCTCTCTCTCTCTCTCTCTCTCTCTCTCTCTCTCTCTCTCTCTCTCTCTCTTTCTGTCTCTCTCTGACTCTTTATCCCTACCTTTATCTTTCTCTCTTGTAACAAGCTGCTTCACATTACACGCGGAAATTAATTTTTCTTCGGACGAGATAAAAGCGGCGAAACTTTAAAGAACACTTCTCTCTCTCTCTCTCTCTCTCTCTCTCTCTCTCTCTCTCTCTGTCTCTTCTTATCTTCTTTTTTTTTTCTATTTGTTTAAAGAAAGATCGACGTGTCGAGGATATCTTAAAAGGATTCTTTTTCTCTTTGATTTCTTATCTTTCATTCTTTCATCTCTTTCCATACTTCTCTTATTTTTTTTTCTCTCTCTTTTTTTCTTTTTTCTCTCTATTCTTCTATCAAGTTTTATTAATTCTTATCAGTCGTACGTCACGTGAGGAAAAATGATAAGAGCGAACAAATTAGAAAACTTGACTAATATTCCGGATGTATTATATAATGTACATATG